GGCTGGAAGTAAGTTTCCCTCCAGGCTGCTACTAAGGAGCACACCTTTGTTGGCACTTTAATTCTGGCCTTGTGAAACACCAAACAGAAGACCCAATCAAGTCCATCTGGACTTCTGACACAAAGATCTGGTAAAAAAAAAAAAGGTGATAAAAGGGTGTTATTTTAAGCCTCTCAATTTTGTGCTCCAAACTTTAAAACATCTTAAGTGCCGATATAATGCTAAAAAAGTTGTGGATTTATAGACATACAGAATTTCAGATTTTTGAGTCAGTCATCATGGTGCATGCCTATAATCCTGGCACTCTTGGGATGCTGAGGTAGAAAGACTACAGGTTTGAGGCCAGCTGCAGAGTTACAAACTGCGTTCAAAGCAAGCCTTCACCACATAGCAAGACCTTGTGTCCAAAAAAAAAAAAAAAAGCTGGGGAGTTTAATGGTAGACCACTTGCCTACCATGTACAAGGTCCTGGGCTCAATTCCTAGTACCAGACCAGAAAAATGGACTTTTGGATTTTGAATCAGGGATGCTCAATCTATATTACCCTACCATTCTGGTGGGTGTAAGGTTCAAGTGCACTGTGCTTTTAATTTATACCTCCCCTAACAAAGCTGAACAACTTTTGATATGGTTATTGGCTATTGGACATGTCCTCTTTTTAGGAGTCACTCACCCCATTATTCTATTGAGTAGCTTGTCTTTTCATGTTCTCCTTAATAAATTTTATAATTTGTTTTCACAAGTTTAAAATTTTAACTAGTAAGTCTTCAAATATTAGAAACAAGAAAATGCTAAAAAATTTGGTGACAGCAGTGCATTGTTAAAGTTATAAATATATGATAAACTGACATTAAAACTTAAAACTTCTCTATAAGAAGTACCATAAACAAAAGACAAGTGACAGATCAGAAAGAAAAGTATATGCAACAAATAACAGAAGATACTGCATCCAAATATGTAATATATAAAGAAGAAGAAAGAACAAAAAATCCAACACAAAAAGGGACCATGGACATTAGGCAGGCAAACAGAAGAGAAATACAAATGAACACCCTGTCAAACAAAAACAGTAAGATGCTATTTACACCTACAAACTAGCAACATTCTAAAAATGCAGGTGAGGCTGTCCATAAAAGGATGTATTTATTTTCCTTTTTTGAGGGGGACAGGATCTTGTTATGTACTTCAGGGTGGCCTTGAACTTACTATGTAGTCTAGGCTGGCCTGGGACTCACACTAATCTTCCTGTCTCAGCCTCCCAAGTGCTAGGATTACAGGCACAGGCATACACTACCACATCCAGCTAATAAAAGAATGTTTTCATATACTGTTGGAGAAATATAAATTGATACAGTCATTCTGAAGAACAACTTGATATATCTATTGAAATATTAAATATCATATACACATTTACAACAATCCCATCTCAAAGAGGCATACAAAAATGTCTTTATGAGTTAATATGTGCAAACAAACTTGCTACAGCAATATCCACTATATAAGAAATGTGAAAACAATCTCAATACCACTCAACTTTGGAATATAGTCCTATCACAGAATATTAAGAAGCCAACAAAATGAAGACGGTTCCACATCTACTCACAAGAAAAACTATGTGATTCTAAGTGAAAAGTCAGGTGGTATCAAGAAGGAAGTGAAGCTGACCATGACAGGAGAAACTACTAGTGTCCTGAGCAGAGAAATGACATGTGTTTTATTATTCTAGCAGCTCAAGCAAAGCAAAGAGCCAGAATAAAGGCTCTGAACCAGGGCCATTTCCAGCATGGTCTAGACCCAGTAAGAAATCATTGTGTGGCCAACAAGGCAGGCATCATTTAAGGTAAGTATCAGAGAATACCAGGCTGTATAGGAGCTTGTCAGACAACTCAGGCTTTTCCTTGGAATGAAATGAGAAAGCACTGGACAATTTTGGAGACTAATGGACAGATTTTAATGTATCACTCTGCCTGGTGAGCTGGAAAGGCTTTAGAAAAGCAAAGGCAGGGGCTGGGGATTTAGCTCAGCGGCAAAAAGCGCCTGCCTGGCAAGCACAAGGTCGTGAGTTCAGTTCCCGGTACCGGAGAAAAACCAAAAAAAAAAAAAAAAAAAGAAAAGCAAAGGCAGAAGCAAGAAAGTGAATTAGGATGTTACATGATAAGCTTAACTATGCCTCCTAAAAGATACATTGAAGCCCTAACCCTGGGTACATGTGAGTGCAAGCTTATGTTGAATAAAGTATTACAGAATAAACTTGTCTCCTCACCAAAAATGTGCTGAAATTCTCATCCTGAGTACCTCAGAATGCGCGCATATTTGGAGATACTCATCACAAAGGTAACCAAGTTAAAATGAGATCATAAGGGTAGGCTATAATCCAGTGTGGCTGGTGCCCTTATAAAAAGGGGAAATTTTGACATACGTGTCACATATGTTAAGATGAAGACAGACGGGCTGGGGATTTAGCTCAGCGGCACAGCGCCTGCCTGGCAAGCGCAAGGTTGTGAGTTCGATTCCTGGCACTGGAAAAAACAAAAAACAAAAAACAAAAAAACAAACAAAAAAAAAGATGAAGGCAGAGATCAGTGAAACACCTATACATCAAAAACTGCCAAAGACTGTTAGCAAACACTAGAGGCTAAGTGAAAGGACTGGAGCAGATTTTCCTTCACAACCCTCAGAAGGAACTAACAATAATCCCAGGGTTGATCTCACACTTGTGGCCTCCAAAACCACAAGACAATCAATTTCTGTTGTTAAAGCCATCTAAATGCAGTGCTGTAATTGTAACTTTGCCAATACTTCTGTCTAGAGGCCTGCTGCCATTTCTATCTTCAGTGCAATTTTGTTCCCAAGAAAGGCAGAACTATAACTTTTTCCCTAACAGATTGAGTTGGCGTAGCGTGTTCTGCATTATCAAAAATACTCTTGTAGCTTTGGGATTTTGAATTGGTTAACAGTCATGATGTATGGAAAAGCATGACGTACACTATATAAACTCAGTACACAAAATGACACGTCACATATGTACACATGAGACCTACAAGAATACATCCAGCTAAGCTGCTGATGATTGTGAATGACTTTGTTCTTTGTGTTTTTGTTTCCTGTAATATAGATATTAACTGTTAGAAAATAAAGATTATTTTTAAAACTCAAAAAAGCCATCTAAGCAAGAATTAAAATGTGTTATATACATGTACAAACTCCCCATGATAAATGTAATCATTATGCACTGTGAACACGTACTAATTAAATAAATAAATAAACAAAGTAGCGGGGAAAAAGCCATCTAGTTTATTGTACAGTTGTACCTTGGTACTTGCAGTTCATTGGTTCTGAAAGGCACAATGAGTACCAAACAATTTGTTTTGGCTGGAAAGGGTAGCAAGTCATGAGGCCATCGAAACCAACAAGTTCTACTTTGTTCATCAAGTACCAACTAAAAAATACCAGGACAAAATTTTCTCATCAAAGATAAGATTGTGGCAAATGCTGGTTTATAAGAGAAATCTGGATTCAAACATTCAACTAAGAAATATAAAATAAAACAAAACAAAAAGATGAAAAGAAACAGAAGAACTCAGTAAGGAAAATGAAGAAAAAGAGAAAAACAGTTATGAAAGATCAGACAAAGTAAGAAACAGTAATTCCAAGAGAAAACACAAGGTCAGAGAAGAGGTCATAGGAAATCACAAGAAAATGGAAAAGACCTAATATCTGAAAACAGAGAAGACCATAGATATTGAAAACAAAGAAGATCAAACACATATATTTATTATTCCCAAAAATGTTAATAGAAAAAATAGTGCAAAATCACATTCTACACACACACACACTTCCTGAGTGGGGTGTGGTGGCACATGCCTATAATCTCAGCCTCCTGGGAGGCTAAAGCTGGAGGATCACAGGACCATATCTAGGCCTGTACAACTTAACAACTTAGCAAGACTCTCTCAAAATAAAAAAAAAAGCGCTGCAGATGTAGCTCAGTGCACAGGACCTAGGTTCAATCCCAGCACCACAAAAATTAATTAATTCATTAACTAACTAATATTTTAGTTTGTGAACCATCCCAAAACGTGTAATAGGTATTGTGGAATATTTTTTGAACCAAAAGGTCATGCGATTTCTACAGAAAAAGAAAAACTGATAGCCATTCAACACAGAGGCATAGTTTCTATACTTCACGGGACTAAAACCTTACCAACACCATCCTTCTTCTTAAATATAGAACTAAAACAAAACAAGTATGGGAATTAGGGTTGCAGAATAAATGTAAATTTTATACAAACTCTGAAAATATTACAAAGAACAAAATCAGGAGGATGAACTAAGGAAGATGAAAATGAATTTCCCTATGCAAATCAGCCCATGTGTCACAGCACTAGAGCACTCTTGGGAACAATCTCACAGGACAGCAGCTAGCGTAGAACATGGCTTGCTGCTGCATATGGGAACTTGCTGGAGGTAACAGGACCTATAGAGAGCTAGCTAGACAACCAGGGGGCTGAAAGGAACAAGACAGAAAAATCATATATAAGGTCGACAAAATGATCTTAAATTGAAATGCATGTTTTGTTTTGTTTTGTTTTTTTAAATGGATACTAACCTCAAGGTTTTCATAGTAATATTTCCCCTTAAATTCAGAGGAGTCTTTCTAGAACTTAAAGAATATATATTTATTAGAGGCTCAGCAGTACTTTCTATTTTACTTCTATTGCTCTCCCTTATATTATACTTAACGGATAAAACACTAGTTGGAGAAGAACTAGGGTTTGGTCAATTTTGTCTTGATTAGGAGAGACTTCAGCATGTTATTGCTGCTATCATCACCACACTCCTAATTCTAGTCAGTTCCTCACAGACTGCTGTAATTCTGCCCTTTCATTCCTTCTACAAAGAAAGATGAACACTTTACATAGCTCAAGCAATATTTTTTTCCTGGGCAAAACACACTGGTTTACAAACATATTGCGGAATATCAAGTAACATTTACTTACCCCCAACCACAAACACACTTTATCAGTAGGAGAAACCGAAGCTTTGCAGTACAGGTTATCTGCCAGTAAGAATCTGGTTTCCAGTGAAGTGGTGGACTCCTTTAAAAAATGACAGTACCAGAGAAAGGCCAATTTGTATCACGATTATAAAGGACACATTCCATAGCTGAACCTAAGATATTTAAAACAGTACCATCACGCAGACTAAACATAGCTGGGAAAGAAATGAACACCACTACCAGATAGCTAGGAATATAAATTTGGCTCATTTAATCTCTCCATGTCTCAGGTTCCTCATCTATAAAATAATAATAATAGAGCTGGGTGTGGTGGTGCACGCCTATAACCCCAGCACTTGGGAGATTGAGGTAGGAGGATTGTCGTGAGTTGAAGGCCAGCCTCAGCTACATAGTGAGTTCAAGCACACCCTGAATTGCACAGCGAGACCTTGTCTCAAAACAAAACAAAAAAAAAGTCTGTGCATCTACCAAGACACTGGTAAGTACTGAGTTCATTAATACACACACACACACACACACACACACACACACACACACAGTGCCTAGCTCACAAAAGTACTATACGCAAATTATATAAGTGCTATATAAGAATTAGCTATTACTGTTACTCTACTGGTAATTGATTCTCAAATAATCACTTTCTGAAATCCTTACAAAGTTTACCACACTATTATATACTAGAAACATAGGCATTCTATCATTCAAGGAATAAATCATGTGCATACAATCTTTTGAATACAATATGCTTATGAAATTTAACTAGCTATGTGATTTTAGTCAAGTGTTAACTCACTTCTCTGTAATTATTTACTCAACTATGAAAAGAGAACCTGAAACAAACTAACCCTAAGATTTTTTCCAGCTCTATAAATCTTAAACTCACTCCTAATTCTTAAGCGTTTGACAGTAACAAAAATCCCTAGATGCTTGCTACTTCAAAATAAAGTATTTTTTTTCTCTAACTGCATTTAACCTTTATAAACATTACACATAAATAAAGCAATCCAAGTGTGCGCCTTAGAATAAAAAACATGTCTTTCAGGGAAAGGCCACAAAGCCTCATTCTTACAGAAGCACTTTGCAACATTAGTATGCAGGCTGAAGAAGTCAGACTGGGTCATATAGCATAGATTACATACCCAGCAACCAATGAGTCAAGGAAGACAAGTCTGCCGAAGTATTCCAGTCTGCTCAAATTTACAAACAAAAATGCACTTACTTTTTTCTTCTGCATGTATTTTAGAATTTCCAAAGTCTGCTTGATTTCAGGAATCTGACCTTTTAGTCTATTAACAAGAAAAAGGAGCACTTAGTATTTTGCAGGCAAAAATAGCAGGACACACTCTTACTAGTTTTGCATTTTCTAGTGCTATGTTCTCTTTAGGACTATTCACAAATTAAAAATACCTTATTTCATATGTAAATTCACAAATTTTACTTTCTTAAATATTTATAATACTTTAGATATAAGATACAAATATGTATAAAATAACAATATCTAAAGGACCAATAAAATCTCCATCAAAACATTAATGAAGTTCTTCACAGAACCAGAAAAAAATCTTAAAATTCATATGCAGGTACAAAAGATCCCAAGCAGCCAAAGCAATCCAGATCAAAAAGGGCAATGCTGAAAGCATAACAATACCCAAATTCAATTTATACTATGAAGCCACAGTAACAAAAACAACAGTACTGGTACAAAAACCATGAACAAATGGAATAGGACAGAAAATACACAGAAACAAATCCCTGCACTATAGCCATTTCATACACCAGAGAAAATACACCCTTTTAACAAATGATGCTGGGTAAATTGGATATTCACATGTAAAAGAAACTAGATCCCTATCTCTCACCCTATACAAAAATCAACTCAGAAAGGACCAAAGACCTACGTATAAAATCTGTTAACTTTGAAAAAAAGAAAGTACAGGAAAGGGGCCAGCGGTATGCTCAGTGGCACAGCGCCTGCCTGGCAAGCTCTGAGCTTGATTCCTGGTACAAAAAAAAAAAAAAAAAAAGAAGAAAATACAAGAGAAACACATGAAATCATAGGCATAGGCAACGACTTCCTGGAAAGAACACTAGTATCATAGGAAATAATGTCAGGAACCAACAAATGCAATTCTATCAAATTGAAGTTTCTGCACAGTAAAGCAAACAATTAATAGCCCACAGAACTGGAGAAAATCTTTGCCAGCTACTCTTCTGACAGAGGATTAATATCCAGAATATATAAAGAACACAGCTAGGTGTGTATATCTATAATCCTAGCACTTAGGGAAGATAAGGCAGGAGAATTGTAAGTTCAAGCCCAGCCTGTGCAACTCAGTGAGAACCTGTCTCAAAATTTTTATTTAAAAAAAAGTGTCAACATCCATGAACAGGAATCCCATGAGAAAGGGAAAATTACCAGTTGGGAGAAAAAAATGTGCAAATATGATTAATCACAAAATTTTCAACTAAAGAAAGGCCTCGGCTTCATATGCTATATAAAGGACATACTCACTTCTAGGTATAGAGGCAAAGGAAATGAAATCAACTTAAAAGAGATACCGCAGCACTGTTTACAAACAGCCAAGATATGGAATCAACAACAGATGAACAGATTTTTAAAATATGTTGTAGATACACAATGGATCCAGACAGGACAGCACATGGCTGTAATCCCAGTGCTGAGGGAAGCTGAAGGATCACAACAAATTCAAAGTAGAAGACAGTAGAATAGCCGGGCGTGGTGGCACAAGCCTGTAGTCCCAGAACTCGGGAGGCTGAGGCAGGAGGATCGTTGTGAGTTCGAGACCAGCCTGGGCTACAAAGTGAGCTCAAGGCCAGCCCGGACTGCAACAGACAAAAATAAAGAAAAAGAAGACAGTAGAATAGTGACAAGAAGGGGAGGAAGAGGGGAGGATAAAAGAAGGCTGAATGTTTGGTACCAAAAGTGTTATCTAGTTATCTAGTTCTAGTAGTTCACAACTCAGTAGAGTGACTACAGTTTATAATATTTTATATTTTATGAAGAACTAGAACAAAGGAGCTCAAAACCTCCAAACAAAAAAATAGAGATGGAAATGCTAAAACCTTTATTTGATTCTTATGCATTATATACATGTACTGAAATATCACATTATATTCCATAGATATGTACAATTATTATGTGTCGGTTACAAAAACTAGAAAAAAATTTGATGATTAACTAGGTAACAGAAAATGATGACCACATGGAGATTATGAAATACTAAAAAACTGTTGTAAAACTTAAAGGTAAAGTTAAAGGACAGGCTGCAAGAACAGATTTATAACATAAAGATTACGGTTGAAACTACATATAGCTATCTGCTGCAAAACAACTAGATCATGCACAAAAACAGGACTGCTACATAGCCAATATCATGTGGGTGAGGAAAATAACAGAAAAATAAAAAGGGAAAGAACCAGAAAAGGCTCTGTGTTGAACAGTTAGGACTGGCAAAAGGTAATGTCAGGAGGGAAGGTGCCCATTCCAGCTGGGCCTCTTCCTTGCATCTCAGTGGGTGCTCAGAGATGAAATACAAGAACCTAGAACTAGGCTCAAATGGTCTAAGGCTGGTATCCACTCAGCAGCTCCTGGCAAAACCTAAATCTTCTATGGGTAAAGGTAGACTAGACAGGCATCTACAGTTATAGTAAGCTGACATGTATCAACTAAGAAAAGCAAAAAGATACTCACATATAGACAAATTATAATGAAATAACAAAAGTGGATGATTTTTAAAGTATCCAAAAAAATTAGTGTATATAAAAAGGCTGAACTTAAAAACAACAACTACAGGTTGTTTTTTTTTTTTTTTTTTTTTT